CTCCTCCTCCCCCTCCTTCCTCCTCCTCCTCCTCCTCCCTCCTCCTCCTCTCCTCCTCCTCCTCCTCCTCCTCCTCCTCCTCCTCCTCCTCCTCCTCCTCCTCCTCCTCCTCCTCCTCCTCCTCCTCCTCCTCCTCCGCCTCCTTCCTCCTCCTCCTCCTCCACCTCATCCTCCTCTCCTCCCTCCTCCTCCTCCTCCTCCCTCCTCCTCCTCCTCCTCCTCCTCCTCCTCCTCCTCCTCCTCCTCCTGCTCCCCCTCCTCCTGCTCCTCCTCCTCCTCCTCCCCGAGACATGGTCCCAGGATGCTCGAGGAGGCATCGGCTGTGTCCTCGAAGACTCCAGGAGCGCTCCAGGGCGGCCTTGAGTCGAGTTTCCTGTAGGCGGCGCGCCCAGGGGCTGGCCATCGCTCGGACGTCAATTCCCTGTGTTTTTGTCGGTTTCGTGCGTGGCTTTTTCGCCAAATGATTAAGGACGCTCCTCGATGGCCCTCACCGAGAAAAAATGCACACGTCCGAGCGATGCCAGGGGGGGAAGTGAGAAGGGGCGGGCCTTCTCAGAAGACTCGGAAGTCCCCCGGACTTCTGAGAAGTTGTCTGGGCCTTCCCCGAACACAGAAGACCTCTCAGAAGGCGCGAGGGCTTCTGAGAAGTCCGGCCGCCTTCCGAGAAGGCCTTCTCGCTCGCCGCCGATTCTGGGAATGCCGGAAGCACCAACAGCATACTCCTGAAGCCCACGCCGCCGCCATAAGAAGTGGCGGGGCCGACCATCGGCGTCGTGACAAGACAAACCAGAAGGCAGTTTAAGTTCGAGTCCCCACGGGGTCCCCTGGCCTGAGAGGCTCACTTCGAGCCCAGCGGGGGGAGGCAGAGGGGAGCAGGAGGCAGCAGCAGGGGCGGGAGGGCAACAGGGGGAGGACGAGGGAGTCGCGCGCAGCAGGGAGGGAGGGAGGAGCAGGACGTCTGGGCACGTGGCCGACGCGGAGGTCCCGCTGAAGCAGCGCGGCTGCAGTCGGCTCGGCAGACGCACCCTGGCCCTCGGTCTGGGGGCCGACCCGTCAGAGTCGGTCCGAGGCGAGATTCGCGCACGGCGACGAGCGGCTCAGGGCTCGGAGGGGCTGGCCGAATCCAGAGCGGAAGCAGATCGCCTCGGGAGAGCCCCAAGAAGGGCCCCGAGAGGTCTCTGGGGGGCCCCACCAGAATCACGCGAGGACTCCACGGACCTCCGCGGGGACCTCAGCAGTCCTGAAGGTGCTGGCACGGTGGCGGAGCTTGACGCGGGTACGTCTACATGCACAGGTTATACGTATACGGCGTGAGAATGTGGATACACACAAGCGAGCATACGCACACGCACGCACGCACGCACGCACGCACGCACGCACGCACGCATGCGCGCGCGCACGCACGCACACACACACACACACACACACACACTCACACACACACACACAGACACACACACACACACAGACAAACGCACACACACACAGACAGACAGACAGACAGACACAGACACTGACACAGACACAAACACAGACACAGACACAGACACAGACACAGACACAGACACGGACACAGGCACACACACACACACAGACAGACACGCACACAACTCAAGCACAACTCTCTCTCTCTCTCTCTCTCTATATATATATATATCCCTCCCTCTCTCTCCCAGGCACACACACACATGAACAAAAACACCACACACACAAACACACACGACACACACGACCCACACACACACGACCCCCCCCCACACACACGCACACACACAGACACGACACATACACACACACACACACACACACACACACACGCACGCACGCACGCACGCACACACACACACACACACACACACACACACACACACACACGCGCGCGCGCGCACGCACGCACGCGCACGCACGCACGCACGCACGCACGCACGCACACACACACACACACACACACACACACACACACACACCAAATACCACACACACACACACCAAATAAAACAAAGCACATAAACGCACAAAACACACACACACACAACACACACACACACAGACACTGTTCACGTCCGCGGCCCAGTGAGTACCCAACCAGGTGGTGTCATCGAAAACACGAATGCGAGCTGAGCCCACAAGCCCTTGAGAGCATAACGTGTTTAGGAAGCTCTTCTTCCAGCCCCCCGTCTTCCCCTTCGGGGAAGGGTTCAGCACTGTCCCTATGAACAAACACCCCCTCCCCCAGGCGATCGCAGGACAAATGCCCCCCCCCCATCCTTGTCACAAAATAATGCGGAACACACGTTGAGGCAAAATCTTGGGTTATGGACCCCGTGAGCACATGGATGAGTTTTGGCAGGGGCAGCGGGGGTGCCCTCATATTGCCTGGTTTGCGCAAGGCCACCACCGCTGTCAAAAAAACCATATAACATGCACGTCGCGGCTAAATCTGGACCATGGGCGGCCACCCCGTGATCACCGTCCAGTGGTGTTCGACAAGGACTGCGGGGGTGCTGGCATATTGCCTGCTGTGTGCTCACCAGACACCATGATGGCCTCCCCGTCACGACTGTGCATTGGGTTCCAGGATGGTAGGGGTCAACATGTTCTCCGATGTGTGCTGCCACGTGCGCGGGCGCACCTGGCACATTCTGCGCGTGCCCTGCACGTGGCGCACTGGCGCGACTGGACCACACGGCACACGTGGCGCACGTGGAGCACGTGGTGCATCTGGCGCGCGAGGCGTGCCTGGCACGCTTGGGCCCAAGGATGCCAGGCACACCCCGAGCGCCTGGCACGCGTGGCGCACCACGCCCGAGCGCGTTTTTGGTTCACAGTAGCTGCCCATCCATTGCTGAGGCCAAGGTGCTGAACATGCTGAACATGCTGAGGCCAAGGTACTATGTGCGGGGTGGGCGGGTGGGAGTGAGCGAGGCAACTTGCGGGCGGGGAGGGTGTCTTGACCCCTCCCCCGACTCCCTCCCCTTGGAAATTGAGAAGTTCCCCTCCTGTGATCGATCTCATCCAAGATGGCCCCAAGATGGCCCCAAAAGGTGCCACGAGGGTGCCCCAAGAGGTGCCCCAAGAGGTGCCCCAAGAGGTGCCCCAAGAGGTGCCCGGGGGGCCTCAAGAGGCCCTCACAATCCCCCCAAGAGGCCCCCAAGAGACTCCCAAGACGCCCCAAGAGGCCCCCCAGAGGCTCCCAAGACGCCCCAAGAGGCCCCAAGAGAAAGCCAGAATCACTAATTTCACTAAGGTGTGGTTGGCCTCCTGGGGGGGGATACTAAGTAAGGAGCCCCCCGTTCTTTGATAGATTTCCTCAAAGATGGCTGAGGCATGGCCCCCGAGGCTCGCAAGGGTGCCCCAAGAGGGCACCGAGGTGCCCAGGAGACCCACAAGATGCCCCCACGAGGCCCCCACGAGACCCCCAAGAGGCTCTCAAGAGACCCCCAAGAGGCCCCCAGAGGCACCAAAGTCGTCCCAAGAAGCCTCGGCGAGAAAGCCAAAATCATTGATTGTACCAGAGTGTTGGCCACATGTTGGCTTCCTGGGGGGGGCCTAAGCAAGGAGCCTCCCTGTCCTTGGATCGACCTCTCCCAAGATCAAGATGACCCCAAGCTGGCCCCCGAGGCTACCAAGGGTGCCCCACGACGGCCCCAAGTGGTGCCCAGGAGGCCACAGAGGCCCCCTAAGATGCCCACGAGATGCTCCCACGAGACCCCCCAGAGGCTCCAAGAGGCCCCCCCATACACCCAAGACGCCCCAAGAGGTCCCCGGGACTGCCAAGAGCCCCCTAGACGCCCAAGAGGGCTCCGAAAAGCTCTAGAAAGAAATCAGAAGAGACTCCAAGAGGCATCAAAGAGGCCTCTGGCCTTTCTGCTCGCCCTCCTCCTCCTCATCCTCCTCCTCCTCATCCTCCTCCTCTCATCCTCCCCCTCCTCTTCCTTATCCGCCTGTGTTTCTTCCTTCCTCGTCCCTCCTGAGAGAGCCCCCGCCAGGTAGAATGCTCCTGCCATCTCGTTCCCTCCTCTCCCGCCCTACCTGGCCTCCTTCCGCTGCCGTTTCGGCCCCGTCCGCTCGGCCTACATGGCCCTTGACCATTTTAAGGTCCCGCCTCTCAGCGAGAGGCAAGACTTGAGGGCTTGAAAAACAGCCCTACCCTGGGTTACAAGTGCGTGGTCTGTAAACCTCCTGGGAACCCCCAAAGCCTAGAGCCGCCAGGACGCGGCACATCACGCAGGGTTTACCCTGTCAGCCCACAGGAGTTTCAGCGCACAGCGCCTCATAAACCAGGGCAGGGGCGTTTTTTTATACTCTTGAAAGACAGGACGACGAGAAGCGAGCCCGCTCCAGCCAGCGCCGCGCGCTGGACAAAGACAGCACCTTCGATTGCATTCGATATTCCTACCCGCTGGCGCGCTAGCGCCAGTGGCAGCGGAGCCTGCCTCGGCAGGCCGATCCACGGCAACCTCAACGGCGTCGAGGAGACGACGAGCTCGACCGCATCGAGCATACATCCAGAAGCTCAATGGCTGTCAGAGGCCGTGCTCGAGAAGAGCCTTCGTCCCAACCACGAGTCGAAGGCTACAGCCTCGTCCCGGTCTGGGACGAGGCGCCGCAGAGCTGGAGACGGTACCGCGATGATCTGGATGTCTGGGCCCTCGGTACGAGCTTAGACGTGAACGACTGCGTGGCTGCCAGGCTCATCTCGAGGCCGTAGAGCACCGCGAGGCGCGTTGGCATGAGGATCCCACGACACGAGCTACAGCCGGGCCAGGCAGCACCGCAGCAGCGAGTCGGCTACACGCAGGAGTGACCCTGGGTAAGAGTGACCTTTGGTGCGCGGCTTTTTGGGGGCCGCGGGGGGACCAAGCACAGGCGCGCAGGAAGCTACTATCGCATCGCGTTCAGCGATCGGGGGGGCCCACTGGGCCCGCACCAAAGGTCACTCCGGCGAAAGGTCACTCTTACGTCTAGTCGAGCGAGACGAGGACGGCCACGTCCTAGAGGAGGCGATCCCGGCGGACCACATGCGCGCCATCAACAACGTGTTGTCGGCGCTAGAGCAGGCGTGGAGCCCCCAGCAGGCCGTGCGTTGCGGAGAAACCATGCACGAGTTGTTCGAGTCGCTGCGCTACAACCCAAGGCAGGGCGAGCGCATCACGGACTCCATCCCGAGGTTTGAGGAAGGGGTCCAGCGAGTAAAGGATGACGGAGTCCAGTTCGCAGACAGTGATGATGTCCTGGGCTGGTGGTTTCTCAAGAGATGCTTCTTGACAAGCGAGCGTCGAGAGCGAGTTGTGGCAGCACTCCCCGACGAAAGGTATGCGTTCACGGATGTCAAGAAGATAGTGATCAGACTCTTCCCTCACCTGCACGTGTTGGAGGCTCAGAGGTCGCAGCCGCTCAGGAGCAGATTCCAGTATCGCGGAGGACCTCGTGGCTCGGGCGGACCAAAGGGCAGTGGTGTTACGTAGCAGAGCCCGAGGAGGAGACCACCCCGATCGACCACGATTACGACGACGATGAGGGCCAAAACGAAAACGAGATTGACCACGTCGAGGTCAGCGACGTCCAGGGTGTCGTCCGACAGGAGCTCGAGGCCCTCGCCCCCCGACATCGACCTGTACTTCTCCCGACGGCGGCCCTCGAGGAGGCCGCACTCCAGGTCTCCCAGCTCCTGGAGACGCTTGAGGTCATCAGGGGACGCCGGCGGTGAGATGTTCGGCGGCCGCGGCGGCAAGTCAGGCGGCAAGGGTCGAGCACGTGGAGGAAGCAGAAGCGCCTGAGGCTCAGGCGCGCCTGGCCACTGGCCTCCCCAAAAGTCAGACAAGGGCCGCGAGCTCGCCGAGAAGCTGGAGGCGAGGACGAAGAAGTCCACCTGCACAGCCTACGGCCAGGCGGGCCACTGGGCTGGCGATCCAGAGTGCCGCGGCCCCCAGGCTCAGCGAGCCATTGTCACAGCTGTCGGCAACTCGAAATCTGGTTGTGATGCTCTCGCGGTCTCGACCCAGGCAAGAGACCCAGGGAAGCTGCCAAGCAGGAGATCAAGGCCCGGCTCTTGCGACTGGCCAAGGCGGACCTGAGCAAGCGCCCCCACACCAGCGCGAAAAGATGTGGTCAAGAACCAGATGATCCGCGTGGTCAAGGATCACCTCAAAGGCGTGGTCGACACCGCGCGTGTCATCTCCGTGATGGGCAACGCGTGTTGGGAGGCCTACCTGGAGGTGGCAACAGAGCTCGGCATCGAGCGCGAGGACACTTGAGAAATTCGGGTTCGGTGACGGAGGCACGCCCATGTCTTACGAAGCGTTCAGGTTCCCAGCGGTGGTAGCAGGCATGCCAGTACTTGTGCGATCCAACGTGGTCAAGAGTGACAAGCTCAGCCTGCTGTTCAGTCGCGACTTCCTCGAGTCTGTCGGCGCCAACGTCGACGCAGGGCGCAAGAAGCTGACCGTCGGCTCGGGTTCTCAGCAGCTGTTGGTTCCGAGAACCGCCATCTCGCCCTGGAGCTCAAGCGGGAGAAGTATCGGGCGCTTACGGAGGCGTACTCATGCAAGGAGCAGCTTCCGCCCAATCTGGGGCACGGTAACTCCCATGCCCCAGCCCCGAGGCGGCATGGGCATCCTGATCCCGAAGCTGTGTGCGATAGCAGCGTCCATGTGTTGTGCGAAGGCCGATGCTGGGGTATCAATGGCAGCCAGACGTCAAGAAGGTCGAGACCTCTCGTCGCCTACGCACTCTGTGCAGAAAGCAGGTCGGGACCTCCCTTGGGGCATCGAGTCGTCGCCCAAGACTGTCGGACAGGAAACGGGTCGGGATCCAGCCAACACAACGTGGGCCTTGACATCGGCGACCTCAGCAAGTGCTGTATCTCCATCGGTGGCTGCCTCAGTGGTGGGCCCTGGAAACGACAGGGCCGCTTTTTTACCGGTTCCGTTTTGCCTTTTTTTGCCGCTTCCGACGCCGTTTTTTTACCGGCTCCGTCGCCGTTTTTGGACCGGTTCCGGCTCCGGTTCCAATCCTGGAGCCGTTTTTTTGCTGTTTCCGGTCGCCGTTTTTTTTGCCGTTTCCGTTTTCAAGGGGCATTTTGGGGGAAACAGTGAAAAAACGGCCCTGCCGTTTCCGGGGCCCACTAAGGTGGCTGCATTCCATGGAGCGTGTTCGACTCGCCGTGTGACGGGCGCCCTCTGCCGGTGCCAGATCTGCCAGTTGGAGACCCGCCCATCGTACTTGCCACGGCCTCCAGTGCCCAAGGCGCAACCACGGTGTGGGCAACAACGTGTCAGGGATCGGCAGCGGTGCCGAGCCCGCGGCGCAGCACCAGGCCTGGAGGAGGCAAAAGTCCAGCTCTCCGCGCAACGCAGGGCTGCGGCAGGCGAGCACACTACACCATCAGAACGTCCGACCGGCGGTCGTGAAGCGGGCCCTCGGCATGCAGCTCAACGATGCTCTCCTTTCGACGGTCTCAAGGGCAGTGAGAAGGACAAGCCCCTCGACACCGAGGCGGCTACTGGAGTACTGCTGCGAGACGGACAGCTTGCTCAGCCAGGAGTGGTCGCCTGCCAGCAGCCGAGCATACCGTTTCGGACCACCTGATTTCGACCTGCGCAGGCCACGTGACGTAGGGAAGGTCCAGAGGTCCCTGAAAGAAGGGAAGGTGCTGTGGGCAGTCTGCCTTGTAGCCCCTGGTCTGGACTCCAGAACTGCATGAAGCGTGAGAATCGGTTGGCATTGGACAGCGCCGATAGCCGGCACGCGATCAAGCGGTTCGTCGGGCTGGCGAGGCAGGCTGCCCTGCAGGGCGCCTCAGTCGCCTTCTGGTTTCTAGTGGCCCCAGCCCTGTCACGGCTGGAGCATGCCTGAGGTCGTGGAGCTGCAGCGGCTCATTGCTGACGACCAGTGCAGCTTCGACGGCTGCGCCTACGGCCTCATGGACGAGCTGAGGGGCAAGTACGTCAAGAAGCCGTGGAAGGTACTCACGAACCATCAGCCGCTTCAGAAGTTCCTGAACAAGGGATACCCTGGCACCCATCACCACATCGACGGCCGCGAGCTCAACAGCCACGCGTCCAAGAGGACGGGCCTATACTCGAGAGCTTTACGCAGAGCAGTCGTGAAGGGATTCGTGGGCAACATCGATGACGTCAACTACGCCCAGCTTACGACGAGCAGCGGCAGCGTGGAGGACGAAGGCGATAATTCGACCCTCAAGGCATACTCGCAGAGCTCGAGTCCGAGCAGCGCGTCATGCTGATCAGGGCCACGGGCAAGATGCACACCGACCCTGAACATCCAGGCAACACAGCGCAGCCTCGGGCGACCCGCCTGGCATGAGGCTCGGAGCACGCCATCGCAGCAGCACTTGCTCACCATTGCCCAGTCCGCCTCAGGCTCAAAGCGCCACCATCTGGGAACACCAAGCAATACCGATATCGCTTCTCACCGGACCTCTCCCGGGATGCGCTCTGACCAGAACTTCGAGGCGAATCCGGCGGTGGCGACGAGGGCATCCCAGGAGGCCCGATGAGGGGAGAACGAGAGAAGGGTAGCAGTATGGGTACCCCTTCCTCCTCTGACCCAGCCACGCAAGCGGCCTCACTACGAGAACGATGGCAGGAGTTCGGAGACTGCCTGGCTATCGACACCCTCGGGCTAGCAGACGCACGGGGGGTCGACCGGAGATTTCCCGCACTGGACCGACATGGCGACCAAATGCCGAGCCGTGGCGCCGGTCGCCTCGCACAAGCCTACCGTGATCTGGCAGGCCGTGCTGGACAGTCGGCTCCTCACACTCAGGGCTCCCAACGCGGCGATAGCGGACACGAGGGGGGGGAGTTCGAGCGCGACGTCAAGGAGGAGCTCGAGACCATGGGATCGAAAATCAGATCAAACGCCCCCTACAACCCGATGCAGAGCGCCATCTGCGAGAGACACGGCCAGCCCTGGAAGGCTCATGCTCGAGCCCTCGCATCAGAGTTCTCGTTACATCCCCTTCGACAAGCCAGAGCAGCTGAAGTGGCTCACGGCAGTCGTCAACTACGCGATGAACTCAGCTGTGTGCTGGTCAGGCTACTCGCCTTCCAGTGGGTCCTGGGCCGGGGCGGGACGACAGCGAGCTCAGCTCTCGTGGGCGCGTGAACTTGCTGAGCGCGGCCCAGAGGTCGGTGGCCGCCTGGGAGGCCGACCACAAGATCAGCGAGGCATTCCTCGCTAAGAGCCTGGCGTCGACCACGGACCCAGCACTTTCTACAGGACAAGGGGGGCGACCAGGTATTCTACTGGAGAGGCCTCGGCAAGGCCAAGGAGAAGAAGCACTAGGCTACACGTTGGCATGGTCCAGCTCCTGTCGTAGGCCATGTGGCGAACAACCTCTCGCTGGCGCACCGCAACCTGACGATCAAGGCCTCAACTCGACACACACTCGCAGCTGACGCTTCGGAAGCAGTGGATTGAACGGACATTTTCGAGGGAGCGCTGGACCCAGACAGTCAGATCCTTTCCACTCCTAGACCTGGAGCTGGAGAAAATACCCCAAAATGCACAAAAATTGACAAAACATAGTCCCCAGACAATTTTTTAACCATTTTTGAAGATCCCCCCTGTAGAGGGGCAAGCCCGACTTAATCCTCGATGGTTCTCGCCGAGAAAAAATGCGCACGTCCGAGCGTTGCCGGGCCGTGCCACGAGAGAAGAAAGGGAGGGCCGCCGAGCAGAGGCCGACGCCCCACCTCAGCGACGGGCAGGGGGGGCGGAAGCGAGAAGGAGAAGGCCCTCAAAGAATAGAGCGCAGAAAATCCGCCCCCATAGGAAGCACCCCGACAAGCGAAGCCGTTTCGTAAACGCATCCAAGGAAGGAACCGAAGAGGGCAGGGCCGTTCAGTAAACGCCCAGGGCCGTCGAGTAAACGCCGATTGTCGGGGTCGGGGTGGTTCTCCCTCCCCTGAAAGAAGGCGGCGGGACTTCTCAGAAGCTCTCGGGCCTTCTGGGAAGCGTTTCGTTTTGTTTTCGGGGAACGCTCAGAAAACTTCTCAGGAGGCCGGGGGGGGGGGGGATGTCGAGCCTTCTGAGGAGGCCTGCTCCTTCTCGCCTCCCCCCCTCGCTCGCCGCCGACCTACCCTTTGGACGCCCGAAAGAGGTACGGAAAAAATGGGTACAATGCCCGACAGCAAATGTCGTCCCAAACCAACAGCGGCCGCTTTTGGGCAGGCGGCCTTCTGTCTCAACTGGACACGGGCCGCGGCGACACCGACAGCGAGTCCTGTTCCAAATGAACCAGAACTGCTGTTGGGCATTTACCAATTCTTTCCGTACCGCTTTCGTTCGCGCCGACACTGAAGGGGCCCTGGGACACACAAATAAATAGACACAAATAACAGCATTCCCC